CAGCTGTAAAACCATTCCTGTTTTGGGGATCATCTCAATGTTGCCTATCTAGTGTACCTGTTGTTAATTTCATTGCTTTTACTTGTAAAGGGATCAAGAGTAAATCTGATTTAACATAAATATCGCCAAACTGTGTGTGGTCAAGGTATAACCCCATGTCAATATAGAAAAAGCTGAAAAGCTGGAGCTGCTGGGCATCACTTAACAGATTTATTAGTTGTTTTGGATACTGCACTTGGCACAAGCAATCTTACTTTTTAATAAAGACTAAGGCTCCATGCACACTGGTTTAAAAAAACACTGCTCCTAGACAGGGGTGGACTGACCATTTGGAAACTCGGGCACTGCCTGAGGGTCCGGGGTCAGTAGGGGCCCCATGAGATGCCCCTGGTACCTTTTTCATAGGCTTTTTTGAGTTTGGACAAGGACACAGGGGCCCCATGATCCCCTATTGTCTGGGGGCCCCATGAGTTGTCAGTCCGCCCCTGCTCCTAGAAGGGTTTAGCATTTTGCCCATAGAAGCAATCAATGTTATCCTATGTGTCCATGCACATTAGGTAGTCTAGAGGCATTTTAAGGCTCAGTGATTAGCAGCAAAAAAAAACCTTCTGTTTTGCATTTTTAGAGCAGATTTCTGGCAGAAAAAAAATGCTAAATGCTCCAAAAGCTAGTACAAAAAAAGGTTCAAAATTAGCACTTTTTTCTTGCCAAGAGCAGGAGTCTAATTGTTAAAAAGGCAGGATAAAAAACAAACAAACAGACCCCCCCCCCCCCCCAAAAAAAAAAAAAAAATCCACCTTGAGCAAAGTCAAGTGAGCATGGAAGTGTCTAGGCTGGATCCAGTCTTTTCATGTCTGTGGAGGTGCTGAACCCTACTGGAACACATCCCCAGATTAAAGACATTCCCTGCTCCCAGTGCTGGCAGACCCTGTTCAAGCCCAAGTGCTAGTGACAAAAACCATAAATGTGTTTTACACTTTCCCCTCCAGGAAGCCAGCACCCCATGAAAGCTGTGCATCCACTTATCAACTCTCAGCCAGCTTCCCCTCTGCCTGTATAGCTGGAGTCTCACAACTCAGTGACAAGACACAAGAAAAACATGTAGATTATCTCTTACCTTCTTGTGAGCCCACTGAAAAAATAACAGCAAGCAGGACAAGCAGGGGACATTCTGATCTACGGCTCCGAATAAATCAACTCAGCATTACATGAGACAGAGTATTAAATGGCTACTTAACATAACCGTCATACATTCCTAAACTGTGTTATGTGCATTAAATTCAACGGCCAACATTATTGTCATTAGGTTTGCTTGTAATTTATTGTTTTGTAGAGTTTATGTTAATCAAATGTGTATCTCTTAAATATTAACTGAATTATAAAAAAAAAAATCTTTTTTTTTTTTTTTTTTTAATATGATAGAATTCCTTCCTTCTCCTTTTAATTGTTTCTCTTTTTTTACCTATTTATTAAGCTAAAAGAATTGAGCACTACCCATCCTAAATTAAATTAGCAAAAGATGAGTACAGTTAAACTTGTCAGTGTCAAAACCACTGGGAAATTAAAAAAAACAAAACTATGTATGTATGATGGAGTGCAACTCTTCTATATCCAAAAACATACCCCTGAACTATAATAATTGATTAAAAAAAAAAAAAAGGAATCAATCTAAAAACAGTTACATTGTTGGATATAACATTTTTAATTAGAGCTCAGGTATGTTTTTGGATATAGGAGAGTATGCTACATCGTACATAATTTTAGTTTTGTCACCTGGTGACCTTGCCAGTTTTTTAAATTCTGGTCTCAGGGTGGTAATACTTCCCAAGTAGGAGAAATGGTAACACCATAGGATGTTTGCATGTAGGGGGCAGGGATTAGGGACCTCTCCACATGATGTAGCCAGGTGCAATGATGTGGGCTGACACCAGGAGTTCTATCCCATTGGGTTCTGCTGGGCTATGCTAGGCACCTAATCTACGGTCGCCTTCCTCACAAATGGGGTACCTTTACTTGTGCTGTATCCATCAATGCCCCAGGTCAAGGCTAAGACTGCTTTCAGGGAATACTTGACCTTAAGGTAGGCCTCTGACTTTTGAGATGTCCATACACTGCATACACAATAAATATACTTCAGTTATTGTAACGCTCTGGTACCCGTGTCAATGTACACCTTCACTGTAGACTGTTGCATTTAGGAGGGACACGCTGAGCCTATGCACCCTCCTCCTGTCCAACATATTTCAGCTACCTCACAACCAATAATGGAGACCTTCCCTGCAGCTAGCACAGACTCTATAGTGCACTCACTTAACTCTTGTTCTTCCGTACCTATGCACAAGCCACTGGGGGCGCAGATCTATGGAAGATGGACCACTCACGGCAAGAGTGCCAACAACATCTCTCTCACTGCAAGGGGTTGTCTGCTATCACAGGTACAGTGGGGATCGAAAGTTTGGGCACCCCAGCAAAGAATATGTATTAATGTGCATAAAGAAGGCAAGGAAAGATGGAAAAATCTCCAAAAGGCATCAAATTACAGATTAGACATTCTTATAATATGTCAACAAAAGTTAGATTTTATTTCCATCATTTACACTTTCAAAATAACAGAAAACAAAAAAATGGCGTCTGCAAAGGTTTGGGCACCCTGCAGAATTTATAGCATGCACTGCCCCCTTTGTAAAGCTGAGACCTGCCAGTGTCATGGATTGTTCTCAATCATCGTCTGGGATGACCAGGTGATGTCAATCTCAAAGGTTTTAAATGCCCAGACTCATCTGACCTTGCCCCAACAATCAGCACCATGGGTTCTTCTAAGCAGTTGTCTAGAAAACTGAAACTGAAAATAGTTGACGCTCACAAAGCTGGAGAAGGCTATAAGAAGATAGCAAAGCATTTTCAGATGTCAATATCCTCTGTTCGGAATGTAATTAAGAAATGGCAGTCATCAGGAACAGTGGAAGTTAAAGCAAGATCTGGAAGACCAAGAAAAATATCAGACAGAACAGCTCGCAGGATTGTGAGAAAAACAATTCAAAACCCACGTTTGACTGCACGATCCCTCCAGAAAGATCTGGCAGACACTAGAGTTGTGGTACACTATTCTACTATAAAGAGATAGTTGTACAAATATGGTCTTCATGGAAGAGTCATCAGAAGAAAACCTCTTCTACGTCCTCACCACAAAAATCATCGTTTGAACTTTGCAAATGAACATATAGACAAGCCTGATGCATTTTGGAAACAAGTTCTGTGGACCGATGAGGTTAAAATTGAACTTTTTGGCCGGAATGAGCAAAGGTATGTTTGGAGAAGAAGGGGCACAGAATTTAATGAAAAGAACCTCTGTCCAACTGTTAAGCATGGGGTTGGATCAATCATGCTTTGGGGTTGTGTTGCAGCCAGTGGCACAGGGAACATCTCACGAGTAGAAGGAAAAATGGATTCAATAAAATTTCAGCAAATTTTGGATGGTAACTTGATGCCATCTGTGAAAAAGCTGAAGTTAAAGAGAGGATGGCTTCTACAAATGGATAATGATCCTAAACACACCTCAAAATCCATGGGGGATTACATCAAGAGGCGTAAACTGAAGGTTTTGCCATGGCCTTCACAATCTCCTGACCTCACATAATTGAAAATCTATGGATAGACCTTAAAAGAGCAGTGCGTGACAGACAGCCCAGAAATCTCAAAGAACTGGAAGACTTTTGTAAGGAAGAATGGGCAAAGATACCTCAAACAAGAATTGAAAGACTCTTTGCTGGCTACAAAAAGCGTTTACAAGCTGTGATACTTGCCAAAGGAGGCAGTACAAGATATTACCTTTGCAGGGTGCCCAAACTTTTGCAGACGCCATTTTTTTGTTTTCTGTTCTTTTGAAAGTGTAAATGATGGAAATAAAATCTAACTTTTGTTGACATATTATAAGAATGTCTAATCTGTAATTTGATGCCTTTTGGAGATTTTTCCATCTTTCCTTGGCTTCTTTATGCACATTAATACAAATTTTTAGCTGGGGTGCCCAAACTTTCGATCCCCACTGTACATGCTTCACCACAGGCTGCTTGGTAAACCTCCGTCACCCTTGGTAACCACTTGCTAACTTCATACCCCAATGTGCTTTAATGACACACACTTTAAATTATGTCTGGTGCTGGTTGCTTGCACCACTTTCAGTAACTTCAGACCAGGAAAAAGTCAAAATTTCAAAAGCATTACTGAAAGTTCAGAACATTACAAAGTCGAAATCAAGTGCATTCTTCCTTATCATACCTAAACTCTAACTCAGGATTATTGGCTGCCCCAGCATACCTGCATAGGCAAAAGTCCATACTTGCTAGTGTCCATTATGGCAGAATCCAGGCTTGGCATCTTCAGGGTGGACTACAAGTCCCAGTAGTGCCCCTACATAGTGGAAAGCTTCTGATGACAGTCTTAAGCAAAAACTCTGGCATCAACAAGGGACACAAATGGCGGCAGAGGAAACAGCAGACTACCTGGGCTCCGGGCCATTGTCCTCTTATATTGACACAAAGCCAGTGAGTCAGACCCAAAAAAACCTGCCAAGACAAAGCCTGGGAAATAGAGTTAACCCTAACCCTCCTATATGGGCAGTATAAACTACATATAGGCAACCTGTTTACATGCTTTCTACAGAAGTCAAGAAGACACACCATACACCAGCACTTAAAACTTGGAATTCACAGGAAGCGCAAGGCATTATCAGATGTCAGTATCATCAAAGTATGGTGTGGGTGCAGAAAGCAACAGAAGAGAAGGGGACAGGCACAGCCTATGGACTTCTAAAGCCCAGAAAGAGAAATAATGAGAAATGTAAACAATTCAACCACTCAGCAGCTAGCAGCAATCTCTAATGATATTTTAAAGTTTAGGTTAAATTATACTTTAAAGCCCAAGTTTAAAAGTATTGGGACACCCCTCCAAATCATTGGATTCAGGTGTTCCAGTCACCTCCATGGCCACAGGCGTATAAAATCAAGCACCTAGGCATGCAGACTGCTTCTACAAACATTTGTGAAAGAATGGGTCGCTGTCAGGAGCTCAGTGAATTCAAGCTTGGTAACGTGATAGGTTGCCACTTGTGCAATAGGTCCATCCGTGAAATTTCCTTGTTACTAAATATTCCACGGTCAACTGTTAGTTGTATTGTATCAAAGTGGAAGCAATTGGGAACAACAGCAATGCAGCCACAAAGTGGTAGGCCACATAAAATGACAGAGTGGGGATAGCACATGCTGAAGCGCACAGTACACAGAAGTTGCCAACTGTCCGCAGAGTCAATAGCTAAAGACCTCCAAACTGCATGTGGCCTTCAGATTAGCACAACAGTGTGTAGAGAGCTCCATGGCACGGGTTTCCATGGCCGAGCAGCTGCATCCGAGCCTTACATCACAAAGTGCAATGCAAAGCGTTGGATGCAGTGGTTTAATGCATGCTGCCACTGGACAGTAGTGCAGACGTGTTCTCTGGAGTGACGAATCACGCTTCTATGTCTGGCAATCTGATGGACATGTCTGGGTTTGGCTGTTGCCAGGAGAACAGTACTTGTCTGACTGCATTGTGCCAAGTGTAAAGTTTAGTGGAGGGGGGATTATGGTGTGGAACTGTTCTTCAGCGGTTGGGCTTGGCCCCTTAGTTCCAGTGAAGGGAACTCTTAAGGCGTCAGCATACCAACACCTTTTGGACAATTTCACGCTCCCAACTTTGTGGGAACAGTTTGGGGATGGCCCCTTCTTGTTCCAACACGACTGCTCACCGGTGCACAAAGCAAGGTCCATAAAGACATGGATGAGCGAGTTTGGGGTGGAGGAACTTGACTGGCCTGCACAGAGTCCTGACCTCAACCCGAAAGAACACCTTTGGGATGAATTAGAGGAAAGAGTGCGAGCCAGGCCTTCTCGTCCAACATCAGTGCCTTACCTCATAAATGCAATTCTGGAAGAATGGTCAAATATTCCCATAGACACACTCCTAAACCTTGTGGACAACTTTCCAAGAAGAGTTGCAAAGGGTGGGCCAACTCAATATTGAAATCTATGGACCAAGACTGGGATGCCATTAAAGTTCATGTGTGTGTGTACAGGCAGGTGTCCCAATACTTTTGGAAATATAGTATATGTCTTATCGGTTACTAGCAACCTCCACGTACACAGCAGTTATGCATCTGTTGAAAGATATTGAGTTGTTGAGTATGTAAGAATGCAACACTGAACTGACCTTTACTGCAATGGTTCTACTGTATTTTTTCAATTGAAAACAAAACAACAAGTCTTTGAAAAGCTAGCTGCTGGCTAAGTTGAAACCCAAAGTCATCTGCCCTTAAATGCATAATTTTCCAGTGCTGTTGGGGTTAATATAGCAGCTGGACCAGTCACAGTAACTTATCAAGAGTGCTGGCTGTGCCTGCCCTTTCCACCCCCTCCTTCATTCATAGAAGCTGTACTATTGCTTCCATGAATGAAAAGTGCTGTATCCTTACATGATGTCTCCAACTTACAAGCCGACCTCAATGCACTGTTTAATTGGGCAACTATGTGGCAAATAAGGTTTAATGTTGATAAATGTAAGGTTCTGCACTTGGGGGCTAAGAATGTGCATGCATCATACATACTAGGGGGGCACAACTGGGGGAATCAATGGTGGAGAAGGATCTGGGAGTTCTGGTAGATCACAAGCTTAATAATGACCTGCAATGCCAAGCTGCGGTTTCTAAAGCGAGCAAAATCCTCTCTTGTATTAAAAGAGGTATAGACTCCAGAGAGAGAGAGATCATATTACCCCTGTACAAATCATTAGTAAGACCTCATCTGGAATATGCAGTTCAGTTTTGGGCACCAATTCACAAAAAGAACATTGGGGAACTGGAGAAAGTACAGAGAAGGGCAACTAAACTGATACGAGGCATGGAGGAGATCAGCTATGAGGAAAGATTAGAGGAACTAAATTTATTCTCTCTTGAGAAGAGGAGATTAAGGGGGGATATGATCAACATTTATAAATACATCAGTGGTTCATATAGTGAACTCGGTGTAGAGTTATTCACCCTGAGGTCATCACAGAGGACACATTGGACAGGGGAGAGACGACAGATAATTTTATCTAAAAGCCAGCAGCTCAAGGAACACTTTACATTGAAGGTAGTTTTTTTTTTCTTCTTTAAATTCTAACTAAACTTAGACTTAAGGCCCCTTTCACACAGGCATCATCCGATCAGTATTGTTTTTTCAAAAGGAAAAAAACATACTCAGTTTACAGTTCAGTTTACACTTCCGTTTATTTTAGTTAAGTTTATATCAGTCTACATCTGTTTTTGCACATGCTTTTACTTAATTGTTGCTGAGACCATTCAGAGATAACAAAAGTATAAACAAAACATATTCTTGCCTAAAAACGGACATAAACGGAACTGATGTAAACAGATGTCATCTGTTTACATCCGTTCTAATCCGTTTCAAGAGATCTGGACGTACCCTTGTACATTTGAAAAAACAGACCATAACGGACACAGATGTAAATGGATGGTACATGATCATCAGTTCAGATCTGGTCTATAGAAATACATTGCTGTCCATTTTTCATCTGTCAACGGATGAATAAAAAAAAATCGGACAAATGGTCCCGCCCATGTGAGAGGAGTCTTAAACTTGAACTTTCAGCATTGATTTATGGCTAACAAAGTGCAACACATTGTTACTACTTTGTTTAATTCCCACTGATTGTTTACAAATACCTTTCTAGATTTCTCCTGTTCAATCCCATGGACCGTATGATTGAAATCACTTTATTCCCTCCATCCAAGTTAAGACTGTGGATGGAGAAATCTGCAGCTCCCACTATTGTGTTCAGACAGCCACACATCCTTTGGTTTCCTGAATCTCCCAACAGTGACTACATCTTATTGGCCACCTGGCACCTTTGATTTCTCTATCAAGTTTGTGGAAATGGGTGGTGCTGACAGGACTACCCACAGCTCAGATTTCCAACAATTCAACAAAAAAAAGGTATGTCCCATGTGCCGAGTCATGTACAGTCATTTGTCAAAATTGAGATTTTACAGGGATTTGAATTGGGAACGTAAAGTGTATCTACTGCGAAACTTACCCTTACTTACAGTCACATACAGAGCTAAAAAGCTGAAAACATTTTTCATTGTTCCTTATCCTCTTCGCGACTGCCAGCCTGCCCGCAAAGTACTGCGGATGGGAGGTCGCTGTAGACAGTGGGTGTCAGTAAGTCCCAGCCACTGATTCACACCTGGGACTCACTGATCGGCTGTGTATGGTCATGAACATTGAACACAAAGCTCTGCACACAGGGAGCCATCTGTCAGTTTAGTCTGATAGATCATTTAGTAAAAGCAGCACACATTACACATAGGCACACATATAACCCCTAATCACCCTAGATGTTAACCCTTTCCGAGCCAGTGTCATTAGTACAGTGACAGTGTATAGTATTATCACTGATCACTGTATTAATGTCAATATATAGTTACATAGTCTGGCTGAAAAAAGACAAAAGTCCATCTAGTTCAACCATTAAAAAAAAAAAAAGTTATAATCCTATACTCACAGTTGATCCAGAGGAAGGCAAAAAAAAAACCCAAGCAATGCAAGTTCCAATTTGCTCCTGCAGGGAAAAAAAAAATTCCTTCCTGATCCCCAAGAGGCAAATCGGATATTCCCTGGATCAACTTTACCTATAAATGTGAGTATCCAGTTATATTCTGTGTATCTAAGAAAGAATCCAGGACTTTTTTTAAAGCAATCCACTGAGCTGGCCAGAACCAACTCTTCAGGGAGTCTATTCCACATTTTCACAGCTCTCACTGTGGAGAAACCTTTCCGTGTTTGGAGATTAAATTTCTTTTCCTCCAGACGTAAAGAGTGCCCCCTTGTCCTCTGTGATGACCTCAGTGTGAATAGCTCTACACCGAGTTCACTATATGAACCACTGATGTATTTATAAATGTTGATCATATCCTCCTCTTCTCAAGACATAATAAATTCCATTCCTCTAATCTTTCCTCATAGCTGAGCTCCTCCATGCCTCTTATCAGTTTGGTTGCCCTTCTCTGTACTTTCTCCAGTTCACCAATGTTCTTTTTGTGAATTGGTGCCCAAAACTGAACTGCATATTCCAGATGAGGTGTTACTAATGATTTGTACCGGGGTAATATGATATCTCTCTCTCTGGAGTCTATACCTCTTTTAATACAAGAGAGGATTTTGCTCGCTTTAGAAACCGCAGCTTGGCATTGCATGCCATTATTATGCTTGTGATCTACCAGAACTCCCAGATTCTTCTCCACTATTGATTCCCCCAGTTGTACCCCCCCCCCCCCAGTATGTATGATGCATGCATATTCTTAGCCCCAAGTGCAGAACCTTACATTTATCAACATTTGCCACATAGTTGCCCAATTAAACAGTGCATTGAGGTCAGCTTGTAAATTGAAGACATCCTGTAAGGACATTCCACTGCACAGCTTGGTGTCATCTGCAAAGACTGAAATGGGATTTGTAATCCCAGACCCTATAGTTTATAAATATATTAAAAAGTGAGGGTCCCAACACTGAACCTTGGGGTACACCACTGACAACCCTAGACCATTCAGAGTGTGAATCATTAACCACTACTCTCTGAATACAATCTTTTAGTCAGTTTTCTATCCATTTATATACAGATTTTCCCAAACCTGTAGACTTTACCCTACACATTAGCCATGTGTGGGGAACTGTGTCCAACGCTTTTGCAAAATCCAAGTATACCACATCCACCGCAACCCCTTTGTCCAAGGTTTTGCTCACCTCCTCATAAAAAGAAATCAGATTGGTTTGGCAACTTCTGTCTTTCATGAATCCATGCTGTCTGTTGCTTAAAAGATTTTTTTCCAGCAAGAACTCATCTATGTGATCTTTTATTAAACTCTCCAGTATCTTCCCAACTATAGAAGTTAAACTAACAGGCCTATAATTACTTGGTAAAGATTTGGATCCCTTTTTAAATATAGGTACATTGCCTTTACGCCAATCCAGTGAAACTATGCCAGTCATTAACGAGTCCCTGAAAATTAGAAACAATGGCTTTGAAATGACAGAGCTCAATTCTTTAACCGCTTTCCCACCGGCCTATAGCAGATATACTGTATATACAGTATGCACGATTTTGCATTTCCGGGTAGGTGGCACACGCACCCTACGCATGCCACCATTCGCAGTTGTCAATCATCGGGTCCCAACTGGTGATTACCTGCTGGCGGCCGGTGATTAATGAGCATCTCCGATGGGGAGGAGGAATGTTTTGTTTACCAGCAGTCCTCCTCCCTGGCAGCTCAGGCACACTGTTTTGGATAGAACTGAAAAGAATAGGCGCTGTGGAAAATGCTCTCAGTCAAGCACCTTAATGAAGGTGCATCTTTATTACGTGAGATAAAGCAGCAAATATAATAAAATGTGACCAGCCTTTAAATAGCAAAAAGTCAAAAATATTGTTTTTTTTCTCAAAATTGTGTTTTTTTTTTGTTATAGCACAAACAATTAAACGCACAGGCGATTAAATACCACCAATAGAAAGCT